TGTGGTTGGAAAAAGTTTCCATAATCTTTTAAATTTTTATTTAAAGATGACATTATCGTAGAGATGAATTAATTCTTACAATTGGATACTTAAGGTAGCATTAGATACTTTAGTACTTTGGTGTTACTAACACTTAAAGTTTTTTTCACTTGATAAAATGCCTTCAGCACAGTTGGAAAGACTCACCTACCCCAATCTAAGATAATTTTTTTTAAACTCATAATATTGGATTAGCAATAGTGATTGTTTATTATTTCACTTTCACTTTTGAGTGTATATATAATATATAAAGATATATAATTGAAATAAACAAGAGAAATTTAAAACACTTCAATGACATTAAAATAAAATTCCTGATATTTTGAAAGTTGATAAACTTTATAATACTGGTACATGTTCTACTTTGAAAGTAAAGATTTCTGTACTCAAAATCATTATAAAATAAAAATTTTAATTAAATTTGGTACAGATAAATGAGGAAAATAACAGTATAACAATAATAAAAATAAAGTGAACAAGTAAAAAATATATAAATATTTCTTTTGTTTCAAAAGCAATTTTTTTATTATTTTTTTTTTTTTTGTAAAGTATATTATTTTATAAGTACAGCTCTTGGCAAAACTTTGAAGAGTTGAAAAACCTAAATTTTGAGAGTAAAAAAAAAAAAAAATTTATTTTCTAAAACATTAATAGATTCAAAATCTTAGACATTCACAAACAAATTTTTATTATATTCACCTAAAAGCTTAAATATAATGCAAAGCAACTTTAATCATTACCCCAGATTCAATGTTTTTCTTTATAGTAGACAAATCCATTGGTCTGTATTAAAAAAAATAAAACATTAAATAGTTTCCCAGTAAAATTATTGCATTGTTGCAACTTTTTTGTTAAAGCTACTTTGTAGCTGTAACAAAAATGTTACAGCTACAAAAATGTTAAAAAGGCTTAACAGCAAAAATTAAACAAAAAATAATAATATTAAACAAAGGTGGTAGTTGCGCAGTTGTTACAGTGTCATCTTCTAAGCAACAAATACAAAAACCAGACCCTATTTCACTAAATAAACAAATTTCAACAAAACCAAAACAAAGATATTATAAATTTATAATTACAACAAGATGACATAATATTGCTTAGTTAAGAGCTAGACAAAGCAAGCTCTGCGCAAAGCTTATTTAGATAAGCAAAATGCTTGATTTAAAAGTCAAAAGAAATGTGTTCAGAGTTGAAAAAACTAATTGTAAGGAATATTATATAAGGATTTCTGTGTTAAATGGCCAAATACTGGAAAAACACTTCCTTATATTGTTGATTTTGAGTGTAGAAATAAACTTTTGTATGTATGTATGTATGTATGTATGTATGTATGTATGTATGTATGTATGTATGTATGTATGTATGTATGTATGTATGTATGTATGTATGTATGTATGTAATTTAATGTATGTATATATGTATGTATGTCAGAGAGTTAGTCAGTCCCAATATACAGGTACTACATATTTATGATGCTTTAACATAACTAGTTACAACATGCTTTAACATACTTAATTTTAGTTTAATTTTCAAGTCAAAAGTTATCAGCGTTAATTTAATTTAGGTTAGCCTGCGCAATCGCAAAGAAGAATTAGCTATTAGTACTACTAATAGCTAATTCTTCTAAAGATTGGAGAAATCTGTTTTGAAATAATTTTTGTGCATTCCTTTCAATCTTTAATTTAACTAACTATTAAATTTAAAAGTCTATTTTTTACTTTTGTACTTTCCAAATAAAAAGTACGCAACGCATGATAAACTAATTTTTCGCATTAATTAATTAATGTATTAACGCAATAAAAACGCATTAACTTGCCCAGCCATAAGATTGTTTTATACTTCATTACTTTATATATATATATATATATATATATATATATATATATATATATATATATATATATATATATATATATATATATATATATATATATATATATATAATTAACTTATTATATAGTCATGTTACTTGTAAATGATGGAGGAATAACCAGGCGCTTCATCATCTGTAACAGGATGTAAAAAAACATTTGCATACCTAAACAAAATATAAATAAGTTAGAAAGTATTATTATATTTATTCATTTTAACAAAAAAGATTTGATACTTGTGACTTGCAGCAGCTTTCCAAACCAACATAATGCTTTTACGCCAAGCTCTTTGTTGCTGTGCTGATTCATTATCACAATTGCTAAGGAAAAAAAAGATATACACATAAATAAACATATATGTATGCAGGGCTCAAAGATATACACATAAATAAACATATATGTATGCAGGGTTTTTGTGAAAAAATTACATTTGATCGACATGCTTTGAAAAACTATTTCGAACGCTGATGTATGAACATATATATGTGTGTGTCTCTCTCTCTCTCTCTCTCTCTCTCTCTCTCTCTCTCTCTCTCTATATATATATATATATATATATATATATATATATATATATATATATATATATATATATATATATATATATATATATACACACACTCAGCGAAATTTCTATAGTTCCATAAAGTTATTGTAGATTTTATGCAGAACGCATTTATAAAATTAACCACAAAAATTTTCTTTATTAGACCTATTGCAAACAAATGTGTTTATGACAATTTTATGTGTTTCTAAAACAATTAAGACTAAATTTTTTAATGTTTTAAAAATTGGCATATATACAGGCAAAATTTCCATAGTTCAATTAGTTTGTTTTGAACACTTAACAAGAGTTAATTAAAATTTGAAGAGGATTTTTTAACTTGTTTGTTTTATGGAAGTTTTGTGTATTTTCAATTAAGATTAATTATTTAATTATTACAACGCCACGCGGAAAGGAATTAAATGAGGAAGAAAAAGCAAAAATTGTTGCAAAGATACGAGCTTGTCCAATTGACAAATTGCAAAGAAAATCATAAGGTCTCATCATGCAGTGAACAATTTTATAAACTTAGGTAAAAATTACAAAAAAATTCACTTTAAGGGCAGAAATATAAAAAAAAACCAAAAGGCAACATTTTTCCATTTTGCGCTTGACGTCATCTAGAGTACGAACAAGACAAATAAGGATTGACTTGAATTACTGACTTGAATAAAATCAGGACGATTCCAATCGTCCTGATTTTAAAAAAGAATGATCACAAAACCACCATTGACAAAAAAATATAAAAGTGCAAGATTTAAGTTTGCAAAGGACCACATGACATGGGATGCAGAATAGGAAAGCGTTATTTTTTCAGATGAAAAAAAGTTAAACTTAGATAAGCCTGATGGTTTTAAGTATTATTGGCATGATTTGAAAAAAAAAGATAGAATCAGAATGCGGCCTGCACCATAACTGTCCCTCCTTCAGAGGAGGGACAGTTATGGTGCAGGCCACATTTTGCTTCCATGGTAAAACTCTAATGTTTTATTACAAAAAAAAGAATGCAAGAAATTACGTAGATCTTTTAGAAGATATTTTAATACAGTTTAGTGAAGGTTTGCCAACTGAGAACTGAATTTTCCAACAAAATAATGCGGCGATTCACACGACATGAAGTGTAAAAAAGTGGTTCCAGGAAAAAATAAATAAATGTTTTGGATTGACCATCATGTTCACCTAACTTGAACCCTATTGAAAATTTATGGGGAATAATGGTGCGAACTATATATGTAAATTCATGACAGTATAGTACAATACAAAAACTTAAAACATCTATCCAACAAGCATGCAACAGTATTTTAAAGGTTTGTTTGGAAAATCTTATTAAAAAGTATAAAAAACCGAATCTTCGAATTAATTAGTGAAAAAAGGTGGTAGCACATATTTAAAACTAAACTAATTAAAAAATTATCATCTAGAAATAAAATTATAAAGAATTGCCTTTGATGGAACTATAGAAATTTTGCCTGTTTTTTCAAAATATTTTTAACTTTTAAGTTTTATGAAATAAATTAATAATTATTTTCAATTAAAATATTATTTGCTTGTTTATTTATTCCTAATAATTCCTGTAATAAACAAACAAAAAAAAATGCAAATACTTCGTGAATTTATTTATATGCACAAATTGTAAGTGGAACTATGGAAATTTCGCTGAGTGTAGCAGCATCTGTTAACCCTATTTTCAAAAAATTCTGGAGAGCGATCTGACTTATCTAACTATCGCCCCATTAGTCTGTCATACTATCATAAGGAAGGTTTTTGAGTCTTTAACTAACAAAAATCTCTCATCTTGAATCTAACAACTTACTTTCTAATCATCAATATGAATTTCAATCATTTCATTCTACTGCTGATTTGTTACAACCGATAGGTTGTTAACATTAGATAGATAGGGAGAGATTAGGGTAATAGCTCTCAACATTTCCAAAGCTTTTGATAAAGTTTGGCATGATGATCTACTCCATAAGCTCTCTTCCTATGGTGCATCAGGTAATATCTTTCAAATTATTGAGTCCTTTCTTACCAATCCTAGTACAAAAGTTTTTCTCAATGGACAGCACTCTTCTTTGTTTCCTGTAATTTTAGGGGTTCCTCAAGGTTTTATCATTGGCCATATACTTTTTTAAATTTACATTAACGATCTTTCAGAAATTTTCACAACTAAGGTGGCAATGTTAGTTATTCTTTAATAGTCAATATTATTCTTATCTTGATAAGAAGCCCAAACTCTCTGATTGCTTGGAGGGAGCATCGAGCTTGAAAAGGATCTCACTTCTGCTGCAGCATGGACTTCTCAGTAGCTGGTGAACTTTGATTCAAATAAAACTCAACTTTTTTCAGCTAATCTTTATTGCAATAATCTAGATCTTCCTGTGTTACAATGTGTTTTTGTTCTATGAACAAAAATACATTGTAAACATAGTTGGACCTGCTCTTGCAGCCAACCTTTAATCATTATCACATTGTCGTAATATTACTTCCCTTTCTTTTTTCTATAAATACTATAATATTTGTAGAGTATACTGGCAGTTGGCAAATGTCAGTAAATGAGGATTCTATACATGTTTTATACGTTTTTAGAACGGTTTTATCAGTTTGATAATGGCTCTTACTATAAAAGCCGAAATATCACTTAAAAAAAGAAATAAATAGTATAATACAGTATATGATGTTTTAATGCTTATAATAATATTACACATACTATTAAAGATGTCAATTATATATATATATATATATATATATATATATATATATATATATATATATATATATATATATATATATATATATATATATATATATATATATATATATATATATATATGATTTAACCTTCCAACACTAAGAGCAGGACTGGCAGGTGAAGAACTACATGGTGTTAATGGTGTTCTAATCTTTTTTTCCTCTAAAAAATCGTGCTCCTTTAACTCAATGCTTGAGTCAAGTTCAGATACTTCTGATTCAAGTTCATTCTAAAATAATTAAATAATTTAAAATAATAACCAATGGAATAAAGTTAAAAAATATTAAATTCTAATTATTACTAAAACAAATTATAACAATTATTAAAAAACTATGATAAATTATAACTAACAATAAAATCTATTTTTAAAGTTCTGCTGACAACGTTCTTCTTTCTTTTGGATCTCACTGGACGACCTATTGTGTAAAAAAATAGTAAAGTAACATAATGTAAAGTAACATAATGACAGTGTGAGCAGTTTAGAATTAAATTTTATAAATAAAGAAAATATTTATATAACCATAAAAGAAGTTCACAAAATCTATTAAATATATTTAGTTTCTTAAAAAATCAAGCTAAAGTTAACTAAACTGTAAATGAATATTTTAAAATCCTTCTTTCTTTTAAAAAAAAATTTTTTTCATACACTTGATTGTCTTTAAATTGAGTTTTATAAAAAAGTTTTAATTTGCACAATAATAATAATTTTTGAAGAACATTTTGTCAGTAAAACCAGTTTAAAAGTCAATTAAATTAAGACATTAGACATATTTGCACTTAATTAATATATAAGTGCAAACATGTCTAAGATATTTTATATAGGGTAGACAAATTTGCAAGGGTATTAAATAGATTAAGATACCAATGAAAATATATCTATCCTATACAATACTGTGATATATACAATATTGTGAGATTTTGATATGTAACATTTAATTGTATTCTCATAAAAATAGCAAACCCTTGGAACAACAAGATTACCATTGACCAGGGTTAATAGGTTTAAACCAATCGTTTATACCATGGTTTAAATCATTTGAAAAAATATCAATTTAAATCAAATCAATATTTTAATTTACAGCAGGAAAGTAAATCTGTTATGTTTACAAATAGAACTATATCTTTCAAATACTTAATTTGAATGCACTTATATAAAAGCATTAGAATGCTTCTGAAAATTAATTTCTTATATAAACTAAACTTACAGTATGTTATTTATTTGAAATTGCCAATTTGTTTTTTAAATGCGGCTATATATACTACTGTCCATATTTATTTGAATGGTCATATTTTTCAATATTAGATATCAAAGTTTGCTTACTATTGGGAGAAAAACTGAAAACAAAATCTGCTTAAATTATATGTTATCCTCCTATTTATTAAGTGTACATAAAAATTAATAAAAGGACCCATTAGATTAGTTTGTAACTTACTTGCCTTTTTATAATTCTTAGAAACACGCTTTTCTTTTTCTACCTAAAAACTTATCTAATTTTTCAATGTCAATTTTATGCCGCTCATTAATAAGTTTTTTTTTAAATCTTTTGCATCACTAAACATAAGTTTTTGACATTACTTTGAGTTCATCCCATAAAAGTCCCATATAAGAAAGAGATCTGATGATTAAGGAGACCAATCCATTCTATGCAATAATTGATGAGGCCAAACCATTCTATTCATTATTATAAAATGTTTTAAAAAATAAGTTTTGGATTTAAGCTTTGGGTCATTTTTTTCTAATAAAAAAGTGAATCGCTTACATTAACTCAACTTTCTGAAAGTGTAGCATGACTTTTTAAAAATGTCCAAATAAAGTACTTTTATCATTTTTTCCTCTTAATTTTACAATATCACCTGAAGCATTCCAACCAAAACAAATATCATCTTTACAACTTTTACAGACTCTTACAGAAATTTTAAATTTAACTTAAGAATTTAATTTTCAAATTTTTTAAATTTCAAGTTAAAATTATATTTATTTTGATTTATAATGGAAATTATAAATTAAAATTATAACTATAATTATAAATCATAATATTTTAAATATAATTATTATAATTACTATTTTATTCTCCAACTCTTTGTAACAACAAAACAAAACTTGTTCAGTTTATTTTTGTTTTGTTTTTATTCATGGGCTTTTTTTTCTAGTTCCAGCAAACTAATATCATTGTATATTAAGTATTAAGAAAGTTGAAAAGCTTGTGTTAACAGCATACTATATCCAAAACAATAGATGAACCACAAACTTATATCTTTAATGAAACTCTATAACTTTCTTTGCCTCTAACAGATGCTTAGCTGTACATTTTTTTAATTACCTTTTCTATCAATGCTGGAAGGTTCTGTAATATAAATCAACCACTGACTTTCTAGATGATTACCTTGTTCCCCTCTTAAGCATCGCTCTAGTTAGAATACAACAATAGCTAGTAAAAATGTATACATGGTGACTAAATTTCAAAAATACAATTTTAATTGCACATTAGAATTTACTGTATCAACCAGCTCAAGATTCAAATTTTGGGCACATCAAACAAAACATGTGGTAACGCAATGTCTTTGACTCTTTTCTGCGGGCCAGTAATTTTAACAAACATAGTATTCATATAACAGGCTTATCTTCACAAAACAAACTTTTGCGAGATACTGAGTTCAGGTAAAGAAGACTTTAAAAGTATATAAGTATAAAAGTAAAAAACCCCTATCAGTAAATCTCAAAAAAAAAAAGTAAACTCAGGAGATGTTTTATTGTTTTACATTTGTCCGGACGATCAATTTGCAGTAACAAGCAATAATGCAGTGTTATTAATTACTTGACCTTTTAGAGTTTTTAAACTAGATTTAAAATATATTTAAAGACTGACATTTATTTCTTTAGTTCTTTATGCCAACATTCTGTCAACCATTATAACTTTTTTTTATTATGGTTACTAAACAACTTTTTTTTTTCTTTTTTCTTTACATGTTTTATATAAAACAGCACTCTAAAATTTATAATAAATAAACATTGATTTTAAGCAGCTACTAAATAACAAAATCAAATTTGGCATTTTAATTATAAATATAACTATGATAAATTTTCTTTTTTTTATTTTTATCTAAAAAAAAGTAACTTTTGATAAAGTCTGTCTTGTCATGTCATGCCATCCATAGTTACGTCATCTGCTATGCCTTCTTCATATACTTTTCTCTGATCTTCTTCATAAGAATACTTAAAATGGTGTATCTAGAAAATTTGTAAATCTATTGAATTATTCCTTTCTAATTAGATTATTAAATTCATCTTAATAAAGTCTCTTTTATTGTCAGTAACCACTGGGGTTCTACCTTTGGTCCCGTGGTTTTTACCTCTACCTCTAGAGTGGCATATGCCATAACTACATACTCTATCTTAATAAAAAAATTCATCACTTTTTGTTTTTTAAGATAAACAGCTGATCTTAAATGTGATCTCTCTTCTGAAACAGTTTGAAGTTGCTTGAAGACAGATTGAAGCTACAGTGGCTTGGGAGTTTTAACTTAAACAAGTTTACTGCTAATAATAATATTTATATTATAACAAACAATATTCTCTGATTATCTTTCTACTGACCTCTCATAGTAACACAACCAATTGATTTAAAAAATTATCTGCTAAGGTTGCACCTCTTAATTCTACTTGCCATTTTCTAAATTATGGTTCTCTACTTTTATAAATCTCTTATACAATTTTGCATGGAATACTGTTGTCAAACTTTTTTTTTACTTTTTAAAAACAGAACCCAAAATCCATAGTAAATCTAGTTGGATTTAACAAAAATCAAAGTACCTGAACATTGCTTGCAAGCAGTTTATAAACTGCTTACAAGACTTGGCACTTGGTAGACTAAAAAAAAACTGCTTACAGTTTTTTTTTAGTCTACCAAGTAAATCCTAGCATGGTTGCTACTCAAGCAAGCCTTTATTGTTTTGACAGGAATTCCTCCTGCCTTAGTAGGATCAAAATCTCTGATGAAATCATCTAGCTTACTCTGATTTGGAAAGTGAGGCTAAAAAAACATTATTGGTACAAAAGCTTCCTCTCTGTCTTTGCTACTGTTATTTGCTGACTCTTGAGATGAACTCTTACTGTTACTTACTGACTCTTGGGATGATCTTATCCAGTTGACTGAATTCTGAACCTTTTCAATAAATTTTTTAAATTGAAGAAAATTGAAATAAAACTTCTTTAGAGAACTTGGTATAAAGCATTAACAATATTATTATATATTTTGTATATTTTATATTCAAAAGATAATTAAAAGAACAAAAATTTAACTGTTTATTCACTTTTTCTATAAAGCTCTTTAAAGAAACCATGTTTGCTTCTTTTTCCATAAAGTAAGCACAGGGTTGTCCATAAAGTTGACACACTCAAAAGTTTGCAAATAATGTATAAATATAAAAGTACATATGCACTAATTAAAAAAATATATTCTTTTTTTAATTTTTTCATAACAATTTTTTTTCAACCGAATCAGAAATACTTGTGTAAAAATATTGCTAATACTAAAGCCTTAACAAGTATTTATGTTTTTTTTAACAAGTATTTATGTTGTTTTTTTTAAAATACGAACTTTATATTAGTTTTTTTTGCTCGAACAGTCATTGTATATAAAGGATAAACCAATGTTTAATAATCAGAATGTCATATTAAATTTAAACATTCCTTCAAGTTAGACTTCCTTTTAAATTTTAGTTTATTTTTTGTGTGCGGAATTTCTTAACTATTTGCTTCAATTTTTTGATTTTATTTTTTAAAAAGATTGTAGGGTATTATTCCTTTTTCAAAAGTTTCTCAAATCACAAAATGCTCTCAAAATATTGTAAAAGTATATTTTTTATTATTTTAAAAACAAAATATAAACATAATTTATTATTATTATTTTATATAAATAATCAACAGAGGTCTATGGAGCAAGAATAATTAGTAAAAATAAAGAACAACTATGATATTGAGAAATATTTATTATCAGGATTTCCAGAATATTTGGAAGGAAGTGAAAAATTTTGATTTAGAAACAAACTTTATATATATATTTGTAGTGTTTTTTTAATTTATCACAATTTTCAAGTATTTGTTAATAACTAAATGTTTTTGTGACAGATTCACAGATACACTGGAAAGAGGGGGGGGGGGGGAAGAAAAGGAATTATAAGTATGTATGGCAACGGGGGAGAGGGTCAAAAATCAAAAATATACCTCAAAAATATTACAACTTAAATGGAAACAGCAGATTTTTACATGTTTATTAAAAGTTTATCAGAAAAAATTATAATAATAATAACAATAATAATTTCCATTATCAATGCTTTGTATGGGTATTGTAGATAGAAAAATATATCATTAATAGGAACTTCAAATAAAAGGTTTTTTGTTTATGCGTTGTAAAATATTTCATAAAACATATATTATATGTTTTGCATGCTTGTTAATAAATGCTGCTTTAAATATGCATCTTATACACATTATATATGTATCAAAAAAAAAAAGTTTATCAAAAGCATGTTTGTTCTCAAATAAAGCATATTTTTACAAAAATTTTAAAAATAATCATTATTTAAAAAAAAAACTTAGAGAAAAAAAAATTATAATTAAAAAAATCTTGTCAAATTTCCTTTCTTTGTTTCAAGTTAAAAAATGTCATTTTTTATTTATTAAAATCTAAAATAATAAATTATTTATAAAATGATACATATTTTTGAAATTTTTATATAATTATGCTTTACTTGAGACCCAACATAATATACTTTTTTTTGATAATATTAGAGATCTGTTTGATGATTAAGAGACTTGTGACACTCATAAAAAAAAATTTATTCAAAAAATTTTAAAATCCACTATTATTCTATTATATAAAACACATTTAGGGGTGTCAACAGACATTTTCAAAAAAGTTGTTTTAGCACCATCCTAATGTGGATATTATAATGGCAAAAAGTATTACATGGGATTGTGAAAAGTACCCTATTTCAAAATACATATAAACCATTACAAAATACATATAAACCATTTAATATTCAGATATACCATCATCTATAGTACCTGTTCCACATGATGACAGCCTACCAGTACCACAACCACTACAAGATATTGTTTTTTCATTCTTTTATGAAGGAATTTGTAATAAATATTTCAGTCAACTGGATAAGATCATTGCAAGAGTCAGTAAGTAACAGTAAGAGTTCATCTCAAGAATCAGCAAGTAACAGTAACAAAGACAGAGAGGAAGCTTTTGTACCAATAATGTTTTTTCAGCCTCACTTTCCAAATCAGAGTAAGCCAGATAATTTCATCAGAGATTTCAATCCTACTAAGTCAGGAGCTAAACTTCTTTTATTCTGATGGAATGGAATCTATGGAATAATGAAATAGAATCTACTAAGTGAAAACTACAGGACACGTGTGTACTAGTAACAACATAAAAAATTTGAAATTTACTATGACTTCTGTGAAGATCTATGTTATTGTAAATGTATGACTAATTTGTTACTTCTCAAAGACTCAAGCATGATTCTGGTTAGTTTAAAATTTTCTTATATCAAAAAAATATTAAACTAATCATAAATAAAAAAAACTATCCATGATACGTCAAAAAGAACTTTTGATGTATCATGGAAATTTTTTAATTAATTCAAAGAAAAAATATGTGATTTTTGAGTTCAGTGAAAAAGAATGTGATTTTTAAACTCAGTAGTAAAAAATATTCAAATAAACATTGAAAAATCAAGGTGGGCAAAATCTTACTTAGTGTAACAATAATCAATACATCTTTATAATTTCAAAAACAATACTAAGAGCATATGCCTCTTGCATGATTGACAGATCCAGGTATTGAGTCTGACACTGTTACTACAATCTGATAGAAATCTAATATAGCACGAATCAACAGATTTATCCTGGCTCATTATATTAACAATAAAGAAAACAAAAAAATAATGAAATTTAGAGATTCTCACAATAACGTATTAAAATTTATGAAATATTTTATTTAATATAAATATGGAACTTATAAATCTTGCAAATCATAAATTTCAGTATTGAAAATTATGATTTGCAATTAAGTGAAAAGAAGAGATTGATTCATAAATACATAAAAAAAATTTTAGATTTTATTTAAATAATATTTACTGTTGAATCAAACTGCATACAATTCTATACATCTGTATAGATTTATAGTTAATTATACAGACAATAAAGAGGAACAATTTAATATACTATATTTAACTTTTATATTAAAAAAATAATTAAAAAGATTCTAATACTTATTTTTTTAATAATAAAAATAATAATAATAGTAATAATAATAATAATGATGATGATAATTTGAATTTATAAGTGAATATTATTTAACATTAAATATACTCCTAAATTCATAGCCAATATCCAAACAATTTCCTTGTGATACACTTTAAAACAATTAAAATATATATCAATGATTTATAAAGTATAAACCTTTATTTTATTTTCACATAAAAATTATAACTGGATCTAGTTAAAGAACTTTATGTATTCAACTTGCTAAATATATTTTAAGATTACTAAATAAATATGAACAATAAAAACCTTTCGGTTTCCTTTTCAGCTTAGGGGAATCTGAATTTTTGGGTGACTGAGATTCCATTGGTGAGAATGATGGTTCAATATTGTCCATAGCACCAGAACAAGGTTCATTTTCTGTCAGCTTTATTTTGGGAGATAATTCTGTAATTTCTTTGGTGCTTTGAATTATATCTTTCTATAAGTGTAATAAATAAAAAAATAAAAAATTAAAATTTTTAAAAATAATTAAACTTAAAACAAAAGAAACTTTGTTGTCTAAACACCGTGTGTTTAGAAATAGCTTTTATAATAATTTATAAATAAACAGATTACAAAAGTTCATTATTTGACCACAGGAGAAACAAAATTTTGCAAAAATCTTTTCAGTCATAACCCTAACATAATTAAATTCATTGTTTTTTAATAAACCACAAAAAAGCAAATAAAAAGACTATAATGTTATAAAAAACATTCGGAATGTTTTTATTATTATTTCTTACAGTAAAACATGCGTGGAGTATTGCTACATGAACTATTTTATAGCCTGCTGCTACAAGGGAGTTTTTATAAGAGTTTTATAAGGACTCACCCATAAGTTGCTATCTGTATGTTTGTGTTCTGTCTAAACCTTTGGCACAGTGTTGACTTACCTATAAGTTGCTATCTGTATATTTGTGTTCTGTCTGTTTATGTTTATATGTATGTTTATGTTCTGTCTGAACCTCTGGCGCAGTGTTTACTCACTTGTAAGTTACTTTATGTATGTATGTGTTCTGTTTAAATGTTTAAATGTTCTGCTAAAATGTTTAAATCTGTTTTGATGCAGTGTGAGCTCATTAAGGAACTAGACACCTTAACTATTAAACCTATGCTCACCCTTATCTCTAGTATTTTGTTGGATGTATTATTGTTCCTAACGCATTTCCAAAATATCATCCCAATGTTTTAAATTACTGTTAGCAGGAAGTAGCTTTTAGTTATTCTAGATTAGGTCAGATTCAGGATCATCATGATAACCCTGCTACTGGCATTATGTATCCGAATACTACCAAACCCCTGCCCTGCTACTTTGTAGAGTGTGTTTTTTTAGACATATGCTTGGAGAAACAAACTCAGACTTAAAAATCCGCTGCTGTGGGGCTCTTGGTTGAGTAAAGACTAGAGATGATGTCTTGATAAAAATACTGATCTTGGGCAGATGTTAACTGCATCAAGTTACTGTCTTGTCGAAGGTCTCCTATGAAAAGACTTAAAAGGGGTAAAAAGATTCTATCTGTTAACCAGCTTTGCACCCCTTCTTCATCTATTAGGCTGGCGCAGATGTATTTATAACACATTGTTTCCAGTTTAGGATGTCAAATGCAGGATCTTCTTAACTCAATGCATGGGTTTTGCTTGTGTCTCTGTTTTTATGACTAAGGAAACTCATTCTATTATCTCTTAATGAGGGTACAGCTCTAAAACTCAGTTAAATGGTTCTGAGGTCAGCTGGTAGCAAGGTTTCCCAAACTCTGTGGTAGCTCTCAGAGAGACTAATTCCATCAACAGCTGCAAAATAATATTATAATAATATAATGCTATAATAATTAATAATATATACATATAATCAATACTATAAAGTATTAACAGTGCTGTGTTGCGCATGGTGTCCCTGTTAATACTTTTAATGCGCATTGTTACAACTTAGGGTTAAAATCATTGAGAAAATTGCATATCTAATTGATTGGGAGGTCGTGCTCTATCTATGAATGAGTCAAGTTCTCTTTAAACTTAAATTATACTAAAAGTAATTAAAATATTGAACATAAAAAACCATCCCCACCACCGAACTGTTTTAATATAACTTTTACTAATATTCGTGGTCTGTGAAGTAACCTTTTATCAGTTGAATCTTACCTCTCGCAAAATTCACCAGACTTGCTTGCTTTTAGTGAGACTAATTTAAATTCTGTTATTCTTTCTTCTGATCTCAGTGTTGATGTGTACAATCCTTTGATTTGCAAAGACTTCAACAGTCACAGGCTTGGCTTAGGGGTATAGTACGCATCAATTCGCCTATTTGTCATGAAATCAGGTTCGAATCCTTTGACCATTATTTTATATGCTCCTGCTTAGTACCTCTCCACTCTATCACCTTTCTCTTTGTTCTTTATTGTTCTTCTTCTTCCTAAGATTACACTCTTTTAGATACAATTTCTGATCAAATTGACTATGCTCTCTCTCTTAACCCATAAGCCGATATTTTTGTTATTTTGCTCGTCACACTGAATGGCTCTAATGCCACTGACCTGCTGAGACTAAAGCCTTTAACTTCTTCATTAATAAATTTTTTTATAGTATAAAGGAACAGATGTAAAAGATGCAACTTGTTGAATAAGAAGCCAAGCAAGAATGAGTTTTGATTTATCGTAATAGAGATAATAGCTTGTTTGAGCATTGACCATGATGGTATTTGTATAAAAAAAAAAAAAAAAAATGCAACCTTCCAACAATTGGAGAGTAGCTTAACTTGGCAGATAAAGCAGGTCTAATTACATTTACAATGTGCTTTTAAACTTTGTCTGAGAGTAAGAGAGTTGTTATTCATTAATATAGGAATGCCAACATTATTGCAATTTTTTTTTTTTGCAGTAAATAAATGAGTTTTGTTGTTTAACAAAAATTGTGGATTTTCTAGTCAATAAAATACTAAAAATTCCAGTCAATAAAAGTCTAAAAGTGTGGAAAAGTCCAGAATATAAATCTATAAGCCATTTCAAGCCTTAGGTTGTTACAGAAGAGAGATCAAATTAAAAATCAGCTGCTTATTCTGAGCATTCAAAAAGTGAAATTTTTTTGTCAAGACAAGAGTATAAAGTTGAGTCGTTAGGAAATAGAGCCACTTTAGATGTAAAATTTTCATGAAGATCAATATTGTAGATAAGAAACAATACAGAAGCATAGAACCTTGTTGTACACTTAAAGTTACTTAAAATAAAGAAGAGTGTAGGTCTTCAAGAATAACTTTGATACTGCAGTTAGAAAGAAATAATTTAATAATCTATACTAATCTATATAAAAATCTATACAAAATTTATACAAAGAAATTAATAACAGAGTAAAGACTAATTGTAGGATAATTGGAGAGGTCAAAGTGTTTTCTAGAATTTTGAAAAATTGGAACCACTTACATAGCACTTTAAAAATCTAGCAAAAATTGAAGAGAGTTCTGGAAAACACTTTTTTAGGACTATGATGGAAGTCTTGTCTGAAGCATAAACTTGAGAAGTTAAACACTTCTTTGAGAATTAACATTAGCAATGTTTACCAATAGGTTAATCTGTTTATCTGGCAGGAAGAGTATGGCCATTAGATTCAAGAGTCAAATTAGAGTAAGATTTCTTTTCAAATAACTCTGCTTTACTCTAAAAGAAGTAAAAAGATCAGACCAATGAATTAGAGAGTTAGACTTACTTAAGTAAATGACATTGTTGACGACTATCCAAAAGTCTCCTAACATCTGATATAAGATACAAGATTTAGCAAGCTGAGAATAACAGAGCTTAACATTAGATAAGATCTTTTTACATTGGATAATAAAAGGATATTTGTTCTTAAGAGAGATGTTCTTGTAAAAAAGATGAAAAAATAATGTTTAATAAAGCAACTGCTCAAAAGAGTGAAAAATGTGGTCTAGAATGAGGCTCGACTTAAAATTGAAGTGTAGGAATAAAAGCTTACAAATTTTTAATCCAGTAGGAATAAAAGCTTCTGAGATGCGCTTTATGCATACATATTATGGATATAAGCATATATTTGCTATTTATTTAGATGCTGGCATATAATATCCTTTCATTTTTATATAAACTTTAGCATCTGTATGGTGTAGCATTTGCCAAAAGAGAAGGTGATGATGATTATGATGATCATGTTGATCATAATGAAGTTTATATATGCATATATATACAAAATATAACATGAATTTCGAATAAAAAATATATATTTTAGGATGTATAAATGTTTATGCAGCCTCAAACTGCAAGTCACAAACCCAGCCCCAAGTATATTTTATCAAACCCGGCCACTGTCAAGTATCAACCCCGGTCGCTTACTACCTGCTAAAAAACGGCATCTGTAATTCTAATTTTAAAAAACTGAGGTGAACATTCAGATCCCTCTAATTATTGTGCAATCAGTCTTCTTTCTGTTATTAGCAAGGTCTTCGAGTCTTTGATAAACAAATTTCTCACATCCAATCTTGAGTCAAATAACTTGCAGCCAAACAGCCAATACAGTTTTCAATCCTCTTGCTCTACAGCTGACTTGCTAAATGCTGTGATGAAAGATTTTATCATGCATTAGACGGAGGCAGAAAGGCCAAGAAGTTTGCTCTTTTTTTTGAATATCTTTGCTTCCAACAAGGCTGCAAGCAACCGCTATTAGAGTTGGAAATGACTGGAAAATAAAAGATCAAGTATATAGAACGAGATAATGATTGACAGACGACTTAAAAGATTGTAAATTATGTGAATCAGGAAAGCTAGAAGAAAGGAAGCAAATTTCAAAGAATTGACATTTTAGGAAAAAAACTATACAAATAAGAGTTTTTGGAGCACTTAGGAATACTCACAGAAAAAGGATGAGACTTAATTAAATGACGAGTAACATGAGAATGAATTTTAGCAGATGTCACAAGAGACATTAACTCTTTAGAGCAGTGTCTGTTATAGTATATGTAGAAAAAAGAAAGAGAAGCAACATAACGACAATCTGATAATGGTTGGATAATGGCTGCAAGAGCAGGTCCAACTATATTAACATTTTATATTATATACATGCATTTTTGCACCTTATCTAAAAGAGGGGCATTATTGGAAGATCCATCCCAGATATGGCAACAGTATTCCATATAAAAACGGATTTGAGATTTATAATAGAGATAAAGAATAGAATCCATAATAATAAGTCAAGCACAATAAAAGGATGCAACCTTAACAGATCCTAATTTAGCAATGGATTTGATAGGTAATTTCGAAGAAATATCGTCAGTAAGAGTTAATCCTAGAAGATGAAGGGTAAGAGTTAATCCTAAAAGATAAAGATGACTTGCTGAGTACATCACTGTTTATAAATATAGGAAGATCTAAATTAATGTGGTAATAATTGGCTGAAAAAAACTGTTATATCTGAATTAAAGTTCACCAGCTACTGATAGCCCTATGCTGTAGCAGAAGTAAGATCCTTTCCAAGTTCAAATACCCACTCCAAGCAATTAGAGAGTGTTGGCTTCTTATCAAGACAAGAATAAATGATAGTATCATTTGCAAACAATGCCACCTTAGATGTGAGAATATCTCAAAGATTGTTAATATAAATTAAAAAGATTATAGGGCCAAGGATAGAACCTTGAGGAACCCCTGAAGTTGCAGAATATGAAGAAGAGTGCTGTCTATCAAAGACAACTTTAATTGGAAAGAAAGGATTCAATAAAGAAGACCAGCATGCCAAACTTTATCGAAAACTTTAAAAATGTCACGAGTAATAGCCTTAACCTCTCCACTTCTATCTAATGCACAATAAAACCTATCAGTTATTACTGATAGCAAATCAGCTGTAGAACAAGAAGATCAAAATCCATATTAATGATCAGAAAGTAAGTTATTAGATTCAAGATGAGAGATTAAGTGTTTGTTAATTAAAGATTCAAAAACCTTGCTTAAAATAGGAAGAAGACTAATAGAATGGTAGTTAAACTAGTCAGATCTCTCTCCGGAATTTTTGAAAATAAAGATAACAGATGCCACTTTCAAGCATGCCGGAAAACAAGCCTTCAATAAACATATGTTAAATAGTTTTGAAAGTATAGAAAAGAGCTCCGGCGAACACTTCTGCAAGACCACAACAAGTATGTTGTCCGGATCACAATCTGTAGAAGAACCTAAGCGGTAGTGGTGTAATGGTAAAGCGCTCGCCTCATAAGCGAGTAGTTTTGAGTTCGATCCCCACCACACCTCTGGTAGTACTGTGCTTAACATGTTTCACCGTGCAGTGGCCTTGTTTGTCGAGATTCGTGTTTGGGAGTTATAGAGATAAGAGAGGGCTGTAACCATAATAGTAGCCTCCTTGACTGTAGTGGCCTTCTTGGCCTTGGGGAGGTGGATAATTAAAAAATAATAATAATAAATAAAAGCAGGAAATCACTTTAGATACAGAAGTTGGAGTGATCTAAAAGCTGAGCAATAGATCAACCTGTTTGTATTAGCTATATCATGTAGAACAAAACAAGTGGAATAATAGAACAAAACTAGTGGAGACGATATTAATGAAAAGTTTTTAGCAAACAATTCAGCTTTGTCTTTAGGTGAGGTGACAAAGTCTGAACCATACAAGAGTGGTGGAATTACATATTTGCCCTAATTATTGATACAGTTAAAGAATCTCCAGAAGTCATGAGAGCCTAATTTTTGAGATGATACAAGATTTCATGACTTGAGAATATCAGGCTTTGGCGTTAGACAAAACCTTTTTACAATGGCTTCTAGCAATAGTAAACAGACGTCAGTTTTGAGGAGAATTGTTTTGCTGATTGATATGGAAGTAATGGTAAAAAGTGGGGCTTGACTTGGAATTGTTGAAAGGGAATAAAAGATCTCATGCCAGCCTGAATTCAAGAAGTTTTGTAAAAGGCACATTTATCAGTAGGAAGATGAAAAATTTCTATCCAAGAAAGACCAAACTGTAATCAGAAGCACCTAAGGGTGAATGTGGAGAAACTGAGCACTGACTAGGATCAGAAACAAGTCGAGTAGAGAAGGTAAATGATTTGGGTTATCTGGAAAGGGAGTTAGAAAGTTGACTATTTGAGTTAGGGATTGAGAAAGACAAAAAATGTGGGCCCTAATGCCTGCAGAGTCACTGACATTAGAGCCAAGCCATTCAGTGTAACAAGCATTAAAGTCACCAACAACAATGATATTGGCTGATGGATAAAGGGAGAAGATTTAGTCAGTTTATTTAGAAATAACATCAAAAAGAGTGCAGTCTTGAAATGAAGGAGAGTGATATAGAGCAATGAGAAAGGTGATAGAGTGAAGTGGTGCTAAATTAAAGCACATTAAAGAATAGTCTGTGGATTCAAACCTAGTTTCATGACAATGGGTGAATTTTTACAAATGTAAATGCCCAGGCCAAGCATGTGACTATTGGAGTCTTTACGAATTAAAGGAAGATAACCATCAACACTAAGATCACAAAATGAGACAGCTGAACTCAAATTATTTTCATAAAGAGCAAGTAGGTCTGGTGAACTTTGCAAGAGATAAGACTCAACAGAAAAAAAGTTACTTTGAAGAATACCAATATTAGTGTATGATAGGTTTAGAGAACTTGGTAATGACAATGGTTTTTTGTGTTTTATAGGTTTTGGTACTTTAATCATTTTTAACCTTTTAAAGAACTATAATCAAAGCATAGATAGTATTCATACACTATTTAATAGCCCAAGAAATTGCCTCATTACTATTAATAAACTCTTATCCATAACAAAGGGCTCCAAATGTGGCCTCCACAATGCACACCAAAAGTACAAACAGGGACACCATCTATGCGCATCATGACACTGTTAGGACTCTGATATTTTATAACTGTTAATGGAATCAGCCTCTCTGAGAGCTACTACAGAGTTTGGGAAATCTTATTAGTGGTCTCAGAACTATAAAACTGAGTTTTAGAGCTGTACCCTTATTAAAAGATAATAGAATGAGTTGCCTAGTCATAAAAATAGATACAAGTAAAACCCACGCATTGAATCAAGAAGATCAAGCATTCAACATCCTGAACTGGAAACAGCTATAAATAATAAATTATAAGAAATTATAAATACATCTGCGCCAGCCTAAGATAAAGAAAGGGAGTCTAGATGAAGAAAGAATGCGAGGCTTGTCAACAGATAGAATCTGTTAAGTCTTTGCTTAGGAGGCCTTCTGCAAGACAGTAGCCGGAAGCATTTAATGTCTGCCAAAGATGAATACTTTTGTTGAGACACCATATCTAGCCTTTAATCAGCCAAGAGCCCTAAGGTAGGGGGTGTTTTAAGTCGAAGTTGGCTTCTCCTAGCCTTTGCCTAAAAAAGTATATCCTACAACGCAGCAGGACATAAAGCAGGTTGTACTGGGTTACATTTTACCAGTAGCAGGATAATCTGACCTGACGATTCTAAGACTTGATGCGAAGTGATTCTAAAGCTAGACCTAACATTATATAAGGCTTTGGACAAAGTTTGGCATAAGCTTGTTTCATATTGTATATCTGGGAAAGTTTTTGAGATTATCAAATTGTTATTTTCTAACTGCTTTACTAAAGTCATCCTCAAAGGCCAACACTCTTCTTTATTTCCAGTAACTCCTGGTATACCTTGAGGTTCTATCCGTGGTCCTGATTTTGTTTCCTATGTACATTAATGATCTTGCCAACAACACATATATATAAACAATTGCATATTTCATATATCATATATTCTTACATATGTATAAACAACTTTATGTACCTAGCCTTGCATGAAATATAATTGATGACATCATACTGAATATACATAAGTACATACGAAATAGTTATGTGTACATTAGTACATACGAAATAATTATGTGGGGGCTACAGTACACAAATCAACTAAGATTTGGGTTTGGAGAGGTACTTATTTAATTTAAAGGACCTTTATTACAGCAAAAACAAAATTAATTTTCTTTTTTTTTAAAAAGAAAAGAGAAATAAATCTAGATTCAAGTCAACATTTTACAACTTATTTAAACTTGTTTTTGTGATGTGAATCACAATAGTGTTTGTGGTGTGAATTAATGGTGTTTGTGGTTGTGATTTTCTTTAGCTTATTGAAAATTTTAAAATTTTTATTAATTTTATGCATTTAAAATCAGAGTAATTATAAGATCTTATAAAGTAATTATAATTATAAAATCTTAAACAAATAGATAAAAATTACAATTGGCGAAGCTTCTGCAATTGCTTTTTTTTGATCTGGTTCAGCTTTTATGCATTCAATCTCATCTATATTATTAACAGCATTACTAGGTACCAGCAATGACTCTTGTTCTTGGGTTTTTGGAGTGAAAACATCTATAAAAAAAATGAAGCTTTATTAATATAATGTACTTTATAATTAAGACTTTAAATCTTTGATCAAAATTATAATTAAAATTGTGGAGTGGAATTTGCGAAACCAAATTTTTTTTTTATAGTATTAATATTCCTACATCTTTACAAATAAATATCAAATTTAAAAGCCTCTATTTCAATAACATTTTACCTCCCTTAAATTAATTAGACATACAAAATCAGTTAAAATTTTTTTTTTTGTCAATACAAAACAAGACAAAAATTTTATCTAATCAACATTCTGTTTTAAAAACGTTTTAAAAAACTGGAAGACGTTATTTAAGAAAAAAATCACATTAAAAAAAACTCACTAAAATTAAAAAAGCCATATTTAAACAGTTACAATTAATTTTTAACTTCATCAATCCTATAAAAGTATCAAACATTGAAATTACTTATTTTTTATGGCAGAGGGACGTTTAGCACAATTATTTGGATTTTTAAAATTGTCACTAGTTAAGTTGACTTTATAAAGCTTTTTTGAAAACCAGTTAGAAATAAATTTCTGATCAAAATGCGATTTCGCTCAGTCTGTTTGCGATTTTGCTCAGTCTGTTTGCGATTTCACTCAGTCTGTTTGTGACTTCGCTTAGTCTGTTTGCGATTTCTCTCAGTCTGTTTGCGATTTCGCTCAGTCTGTTTGCGATTTCGCTCAGTCTGTTTGCATTAAAATGTCTTCAATGTCTACAAAGTTAAAAATTGTTATAGATCAAATAAGCTAGTTAAAAATTGTTATAGATCAAATCTCAAATTTAAAAATTGTTACAGATCAAATAAGCTAGAACTATTACCAGATGTTTAAACCCAATAATTTCTCAAAAAACATGTTTTTTTTTACTAAAAATTTTGTTGTTCTCTGCTAATTAAGTAAGAGTACTAAAAAAGATGAAATGCTGGCCGTTATAGCTCTTTTTCTTCAAATATTCTATTATTTAAATGTCTTTGCAATAGGTAAAATAACTCCACCACCTTGTGAAGACTAAACTTAAAAATAGGATTCAATAACTTAAGATTCTACAAGTCTGCAAATTGTTATTAAAAACATATAAAACTTTTTTAAATATACTGAAAGTTTTATTATCAATTTAACATAGATTTACAATAATTAAATATCAAGATACTTAGTCGATATACATAGAATTTTACAATGGCATCTTTAATAGATCCTCTAACTTGTGTTTGCAAAAATAGCTGCTTATAATCCTTTCAACATAAAGATAGACAGAAATTCTGACAAAACTTTAAAAATATATACTTCAAGAAAATATAAGTAACAGTATAAGCAATTTCAAAACCAGTTTCAAATTGGAAATAATAATAACTTTGTACTCTCATATAATTTACTTGTTTCAAAATACAAACAAACTATTAAAAATCTTCGCTTTTTGGATCATGCAAAAATTTTCATTAGAAAGATGATGTTGTTTAACTGTTAAACAAAAAATGGATCATAGAACAAAAGATTGTCTTGGATGTAAAAATGACATTAAGTTTAAGTAATTATTATCACAATTCCCGAAGTGCTGCAAATCATATCAACTTGTTGCAGCCCAAAAAGAGCTAATGTTAAATGACATTACAAACACTTCTTAAAGTTAAGAAGTGTAATAAATAAAATAAAACATATAATTAAATATGAGTTGTAGCAAACTAATGGGGTTCACTGTATGAATTGGAGACAAAATCATTAAAATATTTTGCACGGAATGCTTAAAAACATAAACAAATTTTGATCTAGTAAAATTGCAATATATTTTTTTTAATTTTGTACTTTTATTATAACAATGCTGGATAAAGACTACCAAAACACATTACAAACTTCTTTTACAAAAACTCATTCAAAAGTACTGAAATTAAAAAACAAGTCATCAGAGGAAATGTCCATGCAAAGAAATGATATAATTAAAAACACTGTAGTAAATATTGAAAATCAATGGAGAGAAACATCAGTTTTAAGGTAGATATGAATAATTCTAAAATTTAAATGCAACTATCAATTTTTGACATGATATTTTTCATATATTATCAAATATTTAGAACATATGGCACAAACATTTCACTTAGGACAAGAAATAACAATTGTCTTATTACAAGTATGGAACCATTTAAACAAGCAGAGCAGCAATTTTATGAATTTATAGAAAAAATAAATACAGTAAACATTTTATATTTATTTATTATTTTTTGTAATTGCATGCGTGTGTGTGTGTGTGTGTGTGTGTGTGTGTGTGTGTGTGTGTGTGTGTGTGTGTGTGTGTGTGTGTGTGTGTGTGTGTGTGTAAAAATATATTCTATAATTATATAAATGTAAAATATGATTACATAAATGTAAAATTAAAGCAGTTAAAAAAAATATTTAAATGTTTGTTTTTATGAAAGAGTGTAAAAAAATTAAAAAACATGTTGGATCATCATGCCTATAAAGACCAACTAAATTCATGTCTTGAGGAAGTAAAGGTAAAAAACCTGGTAAAAAAGTTAACAACTCAGATCTTAAAAATATCATGGATAATAAAAGTAAAATGCCACGAAGACAGATTGTTAAAAGAATTTCTAAAGGAGTCAATCTAACAAGTTTATTGGAGCTGAAAAGAAGAAGTGGAGAAAAAAGACTTTATTTAAAAGGTTATTATACAAAGAAAAAAAAGAAAGTAAAATTATATTTGCAATTATTTGTATTTGTTTTATTTGTTTTTAATTGTTTGAAATTTAATTTTTAAATTTTAATATAATTTAAATATTTTCTTGCATATTTGTATGTATTCTTATACATTTTAATTTTTTATATTTTATAGATGTTTTCTTAATTTTTATATATTCAAGACCTTAATTTGTTTTCCTAAAAATTTGAAAACAAACCAAAAATTTCACAAATTCATAAGTAAATATTTTTAATAGTTTACCTTGTAATTACAATTAAAAATGAGAACTTTTGCTTTACAACAACACACAACAATAACACACAACAACAACACACAACAAAAAAATGTGATTAGGTATCTATTCATATACATACTTTTAATTTTTATTTTGTTTAGGCTAACAAATTTGAATGTTTCCTTTCCTCAAGAAGAAACAAATATACAGGTTGCAGCAAAACTAAATTCACTTATATTGGAAAACAAGTATCCATTAGGAGAGCTCAAAAGGAGGCAATTATGTGCGCTGGATTTGTGATATTAATGTTGTAGAACATTCTAATTATTCCTGTTGATTAAATAAAGCTTGCATAAATTAACAATAATGACAAGAAAAAGTCCTACTTACGGAACAGTCAAGGAAAAAAGTCATGAAAAAGTATAAAAACTTTTTTCACAACTCACAAAAAAAGAAATAATAGTTGAATTAAATCAACTATTATTTATCAACTTTTATTTAAAGTTTAACAAAAATGAATCAAAGCAAATATTTGAAAAATTAACAAAAACCATGCATGGTATTTAAAGAGTTCCATTTTATAATCCCGATATTAACCAAAAAATAGTTTATCAAAACATGAATTACTAATGTTTTTAACTTCATGATTTTAACCACATAAAAAATGTTCTTAGAGAACTACCCCACCATTTTGATAAAAAAAAAGAAGGAGAAATTGAATCAATTATTGAACTTTTATTTGAAGGGAAAGATGTAAAAAGAGCTGTTGACTATGCACATACTTCTGACCAAATAAGAATTATCTTTGGTAGAGCTGCAAACACTGAAAGGGAAGTTACTAGACTATTAAACTTTATCAAAACTACAACAAGCACAACATCAAACAGTCAGCCATGTCATGTTATTTCTAATGCGTTAATAAGGATGCAATTATCCAACGACTTAAATAATTTTAATGAAATTCCTTTAATAGAATCGCCCATTTCAAAGTTATATAAGTTTGTTCAACCATTGACAAATACAACGATAAAATTTGAAATACTAAGAAATTACCCAAATGAATATCAGGCTATGCTTCAAAAATAGCTGATTTTTTTATTGAACTAAATATTTATTGGTGTGAAACAGAAATTGATGATGCATTTTATGATTTTGAAAATGTTACAATAAGTAAAAAAGTTCCACACCATTTTAGAATAAAAACATTAAAAGAAGAACTTAATTATGTTAAAAGTTGCTGGAAAGATATTTGTTTGTCAAATGCCAAGATATTAATATATAAAAAATATATATATAAAATAAAAGTAGAAGATAAAATTAACAAGAAGACAAAATTATTACTTTTAAAAACATTGAAAAATCTTTCTTACTAATTATAATAGTTTTTAAATTTCTTACTTTTTCTTTAACAGTTTTTTATAATTAAAAATTTTTTTTTTTTTAATACTTATCCTAAATAAAATTTACAAAAATATTAATGACCAGAAATGTGTTATCTGAATTTTGTCTAGGGTTTGAAAACAGCATAGGAGATATATTACGCTGTAAACTCCAAATAGAGAGTTTAATAAGTTAATGTAAGGTATGTTATAACAGGGGCCTTCAATATTCATTATATTTCAACCTTCGGTTGAAATATAATGAATATTGAAGGCCCCTGTTATTATAGCCTCCTGTTAAAAGTGAGCCATTTATATTCTATGTGTTTTTAGCTGAAAAACTTAAAAAAGTCCGAGTACAAGTCTTGTAGAGCTTTCCAGCAATTAGCCTTTGCTCTGATCAAGTAGTCTTTTAGTGATCAAGTAGTGACTAGGGCATGCCGAGCACTAACTATTAAACCATATATGAAAATTATGTGTAAACGCATGACACAAATTTTATGTAAATATACATTTACTCTATATAAAATTTTATTTGAAAAGATAATATTATTTAGATAGGCTTTTTTCTTTTTAAATAAATTTTGAGCTAACGGTTCAGAACAAGACCTCACGCAAACAAAAAAATTTCCTAATTAATTATATGTTTATCATGAAGACCAGATATTTTATGGCAAAATCTCTATTGTTTAAACTAATAACTGACTGAATACCATATCTTGAAAATGACCTTCACTATGCTGAGCTGTTTTGAATATTTAAGAAAATGACAAGGTACAAGCACAAAGTTTGTTTTGATGTTTTTATCTTAATTATTTTGTTTGGAGTAAAACATTTGTCTTTCAAATTTTATCATTTATTTTTAGTTTAATGATTATATAAAACTTTTTTCAAAGTTTTATATAAATTAAAGAATTTCATTAAATGATGTCATTGTAGAATTTCGATAAGAAATCTAAAAATTCTTTTTTTTTTTTTTATCAAATTAGTGAATTTTTTTTTTTTTAATTATAAATTACTAAAGAATTTGTTACTTATTTTTATATAAAAGTTTTTTTTTACTGTAGAATTTCTTTATTTATTTTATTTTCTAAATTTCGCAAAGTTCGCATTAAAAATATGAAATAAGAATTTCAGATATTTTGAGCTCGTCTATTGCAAAAAATTATTTGCGTGTTTATTCCTATTTAATGATTATTATCCTTTTTAAGATTCTGTTAAAAAAATTATTTTGTATTATTTAACACTTACATTATTTATTAACATTAACATTACTTAACATTATTATTTATTATTTTAACATTATAATTTAACAAAACCTCAAAAAGCAGATTTTGATTTTCAAATTTTGACCGCAAGCCGCTGATAGCAGCTTTCGAGTATGCTTCACAATTTATCTTGTTTTGTGCATAAATTTTCACTCTAGACACATATAATTTGTTTGTTCTTAACCTTTAATCAATTCCTTGTAAATAAATGTGTAAATCCTTGTAAGTTGAGTAATCCTTAAAAAAAAACTTTTTCAAAGTTCTAAAATAAAGCAGCATTAACACTGTAAAATTTTTTGTTTTAGACCTAAATGATGATGCGTGTTAAAAACGTATTTAATTAAAAAGTTCATTTGTTTAGCCTTCTATTGATATATAGTTTGTTATGCTTTTAAAGAGAATAACTATTTGAATTTTAATTAGTTGTCAATGTTATGCCACCCAAATTTTATTCAAAAAAAATGTGCTGTCGCAGCGTAAAGATTTTAGATAAAACGGCTGGTAACCTTATGATAGTGTTTAATTAATTTTATTTGCTAAACTTTTCATCAGGAACAAATATTCAACTTATGCAATATTTTGTAATACATGCATATTTAATGAAATTTATTCAGTAAAACATGTATTCCTTATTTTATCATATTTTTAAAATTGAACATTTATTGGTCAAGATAGTTCAATAAAGTGTAGCATTATCAAGGTGATCAACCTTATTTTTGAATATTTATTATATTTAAAACATTTATTATATTTTAACATTAAAATCATAATTTTATTTAGTTCTTGCACTCTTCTTTTGTTTAGCTTCCTATAAAATTTTTAGAAAAGTCATACAATTGATAATAAATGCTTATTTTAAAAAACAAATAAAACAAAAAATAAATAATATTGATTCAAAAAAAAAAAAAAAATCTACAATGACTTCATTTACTAAAACGCATTTAACAAGCCTTTAAATTAAATATGATTTTCAAAATTTAAATTTAGTTTCGAAGGAATTTAAAATAGTAAAATGTTGAAAGTAAAATTTAGTTTCAAAACAACCTGACAAAGAGGGGTGCCACCAAAATGAAAAAAATGCAAATATGACAGAACTGTTCATAGTAGTTTTAATTTATTTTGTGCGTTTGGCCTAACCAATAGTTTACAGATTTTTTGATATTCTGTATTATTAACTCTGCTATTTCTTTATTTCATTTTCTTCTTAAGGATCCTTTTTTTTTTATTTTAGAAATTTGAAACCTGTGTCACTGATCCTGTTAGTGAAAGTATAGAGGGTTAATACCAAAAGTTTACAGCACTGGGTGACACCAACCCCAGTGATGCCACTGCAACAAAATAATTTAAAAACAATTAAGAATTAATACTTTAAAACCCTTTGCTTTTAATATGTTGTAATTATTAAGATCTTGATTGTTACAGGAACCTTGGTGTTAACCCTTAACACCAAAAGTTTACAGCACTGGATGACACCAACCCCAGTGATGCCACTGCAACAAAATAATTTAAACAACTTTCAAAATAACAATAGTTTTCAGGTTCCTGTAACAATCAAGATCTTAATAATTACAACATATTAAAAGCAAAGAGTTTTAAAGTATTAATTCTTAATTGTTTTTACAAATAATATTTAATATTTTTAATATTTGTCAAGACTTTGTTATTCCAAAAAAGAGCAAAATTTTCATAAAATAGGCGCTCAATTCAAGTGAAAAAACTAATGGAGTATATATTGGGATGTTTTATATCTGAAAGTAGAAAAATGAATGTTATCAATAATTTGCAATATTACTTTTAGTTACACAAATTATTTCTAGTCTATTATTTCAAACTATTAATCATATTTATTATATAATTTGTTAAATTTTGCATTAAGTATAAATTTATATATACTTGTTAAGATTAAATTTTTGTGTATAAAAGTAGCAGGATCATATATGAATATATATAAGTAACAGGATTAATTTAATATATTTTAAAATAAAATACCTTTCTGATTATATTAGGAGAGACAAAAAAAAAAAAAAAAAAAATGGCAGGATGGTTTATACTTTATAAAATAATGGTGAGATATACTGTTCAGGCATTTTGCCTGAACAGTATATTGCAATTGAATTGTAGTAAAATTAAGTTAAATAAAATTACCAGCAACTTTTTTATCATCCTCACAAAACTCCATTTCACTAATAACTTCATTAGATGTCTCTTTTTTAAGATCTTCAACATCAACAATCTTCATTAAAGGTTCATTTGAATTAACTTTGTCAGAGATTGAATTTTCATTTGGTATTGGATCTTCTTCTTTTGTAAGAATAACCGATTGCTCTTGATTTAAAGTAGGCTCTACATTTGACACTGATTCAGATACTTCAACATTTGTGCTTTCTTGAATGTGTTCTTCTTTAATATCTGAAGAAACATCTTTAGTAATTGGGATTGGAGTTGATAAAATTTCTTCATTCTTATTTAAGTCTTGTTGAATTTCTTCTGTTGATATTTTGCAATTATCATCTGCATTTAAAGAACAGTTAGCGTTATCTGTGTGATGAGAAGAAGAGTTAG